AGTCTAGTCTAGTCTAGTCTAGTCTAGTCTAGTCTAATCTAATCTAATCTAATCTAATCTAATCTAATCTAATCCAATCCAATCCAATCTAATCTAATCCAATCTATATCCCACCCCTTTCTGCAAGCAGTAATAAGTTTATGTAATGGATAACATTACAGGTAATCCTTGCTTAGCAACCACAATAGGGACCAGAAAATTGGTCGTTAAGCAGGGTGGTCATTAAGCAAGTCACCATGTGACCAGATCCAATTTTATGACCATTTTTATGATGGCTGTTAAGTGAATCACCGTGATCATTAAGCAAATCATGTAGTCATTAAGTGAATCCAGCTTCCCCAATGGACATTTTTTGTGGAATTTACTTAGCAACCACATGATTTGCTTAATGACCATGGTGACTTGCTTAACGACCATGGTGATTCATGTAATGGCCATCATAAAAAGGCTGCAAATCGCAATCAAGTGACTGCGGGGGGGGTGCGATGGCTCGCAACGGTCGTAAGTGCAAGTACAGGTCATAAAGCCCTTTTTCCAAGGCCATCATTTCAAACCACCATTAAATGAACGGTTGTTAAGTGAGGACTACCTATATTAAGTTTGTATCCTATGGGTGAGAGTTATTGATTGTAATTTTATAATTTATTCACAAAGATTCGCAGGCATTTACGTACAAGGCCAGGATATTTTCAGTTCCAACATTCTGGAGAAATAAGCATATTTATATGTATATAGATGATTTCATACCGTTTTTCATTATACTGGATCTTCTTAACAATATCAGCCATCATTTCATTATCTGAAGGTAACTTGTTCAGGCCTGAAAAATAACATCAGTTTAATCTTCTGGTGCCCTCTGTCGTCCGAGAAATATACAGCAGTTTGCAGACAGACAATGCAGAAGTACAGAACATATTGTGGACTGAACAGAGAAACTGAAGTAGACTGTAACTGTGTCCATTACACATACAGAGATGTTGGGAATGAAAGTACTTCAATAAAGGATGAAACGTTGTGTTGATACAGCAAGACATTAGGAGAATTTTCTGAAGAAGTGATGTGGCTATTCCTGACCCACCAGAAAGAAGCTGAGCTTGTAGGATGATGGAGAAGGTCACACCAGATAGACACTAAATGTCAGCAAAGAGTTGTTTTCTATATCTTGCTGCTGCCATTGATTTCTGCAGATCAAATGTGATGGCCCTACCCAATACTAAGCCTGCCACCCAGCGCATAATTTCCTGGGTATTAAGCCACCCTGAACAATTCTGGCTTGCTTCTGTGTAGGCATGCAGCGGCACATGCAGACATATTCCTTGGTAATTTAGAGCCACTGTTCTCAGCCTCATCCTGGCTCCAAAATACCAATTTTGCTTGAAAGATGAACTAGTGCAGGACCAGTTAATCAACATGAACAGGTTTTCTGTATATCTCAGCTTTCTGTTGAACTGAATTCCAGAAGTGGTTCAACCCAGATAATAGCTTTACTACTTTAGTATAAACTATGTCTTGAGATTACTGTGGGAATAATCTGCGCTGAAGCACTCCCCCCATAGCTCCCATTCATTTAAAGCAGGTGTCAATACGCTTCCTTATGGCTTGCAATCACATTAATTAATTTTAGATTTTCTTCCTCAAATATAAAAGTGTTCTGGCTGCAAAAAAGGCAACTTTCATTTCTATTCAAGCAACAGACACTTCACACACAATACTATAATCTGAGAGTTTCAGCATGATTTTCACCCCTCTGACCCAGTGGAATTAAACAAAGCCATGTAATGCCAAGTCAGGCTATTGGTTAATCTTGTCCAGTCTATCTGTCCAGTGGTAACTTTACAAGGGCTCAGCCAGAAGTATTTTGCAGGCCAGCTACCCGATATTTTTTAAACTAACACCAGATGTGGTTGGTCTTGGGGCCACCAGGGCTAGGAAAAGTAAGTTTTCTAAAAATATATATGAAATGGCATTATTTGAAATTACAGAACAATTTTGGTAGAATCTCACCTGTAATCCAAATATTCAAGTAATTCTTCCTTGGTTATTGATTCTTATAAATGATTCCCAAGTAATAACATGAAATGTCAATTGTGAACAATTTTCCCTTTGAAAAATGAATAGTGCCTTTTTGTGGTAGATAGAGAACATATGATCAAACATGGAAGTATTATAGGGATTTTTTTCAGAACGTGGAAAGTTTTTCTGTTAAAATAAGGCTTTGTCTTGGATTTCTATGGACACAATAATCCCTCCAGTGGAGCAAAAACAACAAGCTCTGCCATCATATTCCCATGGAATAATAATAATTATCATCATCATCATCATCATCATCCCACCTTTTTATATATTTTGGTCAGCTCAAGGTGGCGAACATACCTAATACTCCTCCTTCCTATTTTCCCCGCAACAAACACCCTGTGAGGTGGGTTGAGCTGAGAGAGAAGGACTGGCCCAAAGTCACCCAGCCGGCTTTCATGCTAAAGGGAGGCCTAGAATTCACCGTCTCCTAATTTCTAGGCCAGCACCTTCACCACTGCACCAAACTGGCTCATTGGATTGGATGAATAATGATAACATTATGATTAGCATAATTCCAAGAAGTTTCCTTGTTGGTCTTTTTGCTGGTATACATATATTATGCTACATGTACAACACATTTGGTCATATGCAAACATTTGGCAGAGATGGAGATTGCTTTCATAGATACCCAAAGATATATCACATGGCTTTGTTGTTCTTATGCAAAAGAGGGAGTTATTATTAATCAGCAGTGCAACCTTCAGACCAAGCGGAGCATCAGCCAAGAACTTCTAGCATTCTTATATTCTCTCTTACCCTTGAAAATTCTTGTGGCCCAGCGAACTTGGAGCTCAGATACAGGTATAATGGCTCCTACAGGTTGGATGAGGCCAATCACAGCCAGTGTGTGCTTTTCCAAGTGTGGAGGGAAGACATATTTATATAGTGAGATTTTATTTGTTTGTGTCCTGAGTACAGTGTCCTGAGTGAAAGGAAAGGAGAAGTTGTATCCTGTAGCAAAAATTACCACATCGATGTTTTCCTCTGTGCTGCCATCTTCAAAGATCACACCTCTTTCAGTGAACTTCTTCACATGTGGTTTTATTAGCACCCTGCCAGCAATTATAGCATTTGGTAGATCATCACCCATAACTGGGGTCTTACTAAGGAACCTGCAAAATGAAGAAGAAAACACACTGGCCATATTTTTCTCCAGAATTTGTGCTTGTTAACATTTTTATGACAATTTGAAGAAAAATGGGGGGCAAACAAAATGCAGGAAGCAATCATCATACATGTTTTTCAAACCAGCCAAGAAAGCACAGCCTTGGTAAAGAAAAGCTAATTTATGTCAGGGGTGTAATTCAGTGTATGGTGATATATTTTTTTACCCACACATTTATACAAAATATACTGTATATTATTTACTGGCTTTACAATTTTATAACAGTTTTGTCTGATTGTTTTCTGCTTCTGCATCGCTATTGACTTCTTTTTTGTATGCAACGCCACCTTTTGGGAATACGTTTTACTGGAAAATAAGGAAGTGGAAAATAAAGAAGTGGAATTGGAAAAGAACTGGAAAATAAGGAAGTGGAAAATAAAGAAGAAAATAAAGAAGGCGACATGGTGGCGCAGCGGCTTAATGACGCTGAAAGTTGCCGGCCAGAAATGGTCGACACTTCAGCGGTTCAAGCCCAGCCTTCGCGCTAAACAGGGTGAGCTCCTGCTTCCTCCCCCAGTTCCTGTCAACCCAACAGTTCGAAAACTCACGTGAGTAGATAAATGGGGACTCT